CTTACCAAACCACCTTTAGTTGCAGAATAGGCAGTGGTGGGATTCAAATACCTGAACAATTGGTTCTCTTATTGGATGCAGGCCTGGGCCTCTGAGGCATAGAACGGACTTCCGGAAGTGGCATCCATGCTCTTCCGGTAGGCTGTTTTAGGCCTGGGAGGCCTCCTCCAGACCTCTGAGACCTAGAACGGACTTCCAGAAGTGGCATCCATGTTCTTCCGGTAGGCTGTTCTAGGCCTGGGAGGCCTCCTCCAGACCTCTGAGACCTAGAACGGACTTCTAGAAGTGGCATCCACGCACTTCCGGCAAGCTGTTCTAGGCCTGGGGGGCCTCCTCCAGGCCTCCGAGGCCTAGACTGGACTTCCGGAAGCAGTGTGCATTCAGCTGGTTCTCTGAACTCAGCAAAATTTAGCTACTGGTTCTGTGAACCGGTGCAAACCGGCTGAATCCCACCACTGAGTATAGGTAGTCCTCGACTTACAGTCATTTAGTGACTGTTCGAAGTTACAAGGGCATTGAACAAAGTAACTTATGACCATTTTTCACACTTATGTCTGTTGCGGTATCCCCATGGTCACGTGATCAAAATTCAGACGCTTGCCAAGGGGCTCATATTTATGACGGTTTGCCGTGTACTGAGGTCGTGTGATCCCCTTTTGCGCCCTTCTGGAAAGCAAAGTCAAAGGGAAAAGTCAGAGTCATGTAACAAGGGTGTTACTAACTTAATAACTGCAGTAATTCACTTAACAACAGTGGCAAGAAAGGTTGTAAAATGGGACAAAAGTCATTTAACAAATGTCTTGCTTAGCAACAGAAATTTTTCAGCTCAATTGTGGTTGTAAGTTGAGGACTACTTGTAGTACACACACACACACACAGAGAGAGAGAGAGAGAGAGAGAGAGAGAGAGAGAGAGAGAGAGAGAGAGAGAGAGAGAGAGAGAAACACACATCACCCATCCAGTCCTCCCATCCTCATCCTAGTTGGTCAGGATGATACTGTAGGAAGAGTGGCAGAACCTTGGGGTGGAGTTAAAAGAGGGATAAGCCTAGAATCCCTACGTAGCCACAAGGGGACTTAAGTCCAACTTTCCTTGAATTCCATGGAACCCCATCTAACTCCAAGCAGGTAGTAACCCTTAGTTGAGAAGATTAATGTCCAACTAACAGTTGGCACCTGCTTGGAGTTAGATCAGAGTCCATGGAATTCAAGGGAGGTTGGATTTAAGTCCCCTGGTGGCTACATAGGGATTCTAGGCTTATCCCTCTTTTAACTCTGCCCCCAGGCTCTGCCACTCCTTCTCCAACGTATATTACATTCATGATTTATAGCTATTTCAGTATGACTTTTTTTGTCTACAGTATAGTAAAGTTCTTAACTTTCAAGCACCATCTGCCTTTCTCTAAGTTAAGATCTTGATGCTGGATCTTACATTTTGGCACCATCAAGAGCAGGTCTTAACCTTCTTCATTTGGATCTTCTTCTTCAGACACTTGAAGAATGCTCTTATGACTCTTTTTCAGCTTTCACTTCTAACGCTTAAATATACTCAATTCCTGCAATGGTTCTTCACAAAACCTAACTTATCTCCTCATAAAAAGAGTTGCCCTATTATCCTCACTGTCATTCTTTGGGCTAGTTCTAGTTGGCTTGAACTCTTTAAAATTATGGTGCCTCCAAGTTCTCCTTGACTTCTCCTAGACTTTCAGCACCGTTGTTGGAGATCTCTTCCTGGAGTATCGGAGAAGACTTGAGTTTTTGCAAGGTTTCTCATTCTTTCTGTCAGGCTTTTTCCAGAGGTTAGAGGTGGAACTCATGCTTGACCCTGAGGCCACAGATCCCTCCGACCCATGGTCTTCCTCATGCTGCCATTTTGTTCCCCGCGCCGTTCAACATCTCCACGAATGTGTTGTGAACAGCTCTGACCTAGATTCGAGGCCATGTATGAGCTGTGTAAAACAGAAGCCCGGGCGGTGTTCTTTTGACGAGAGAAAATGACATTGTAGAATAGAGAGGACATTGTCACTTTGATTAGCTTCTGTTTGATCATTATGATTTTCATCTAAGCGCGTGGCGAGGGCTTCTTCTCTTGCCCTCCCCCGAAATGTCATCAGATGTTACATGCTCTCTTATAAATAGTCTTCCGTCAGATTCTCAGCACACGTTGCTGTTTGTAATTATATCCTTTGGAGCCATCAGAGGTTTAAGCCAGAAAACAAATACAAAAAGCTTCTAACTAGGCAGAAACAATGAAGATGCATAGCCCGCGTCTTTCCTCTTTCAGCGGATGTACCCCGATCTGTTAATTATTCCCATCATTAGCTGCTGAGTTTGGCACCAAAAAAAGTTACTAATATTTGGTCTTGACTGATGCAAAAGAAGGTTTATTAGCGTGGAAGTATATTGTCCTCTCTCCTTTTTTTTAAAAGTACCAGTTGACTTCAGAATATCTCTGGAGTAATGAGATAGTTTTCTTGATGACATGGATTCCAAGAATCATGCTGAAGATGATGCCCATGAGGGATGAATGTTGACTTTCTCCATGCTGACTTTTCTTGGGTCATTAAGGGACAATGGACCAGAAGCAGTTTGCTCATGTTGCAATAACTCTCCAAAGAGAGGGTTTGAGAGAGAGGCAGGTTGATCTAGTGGTTAAGGCACCAGGCGTGAAAGGAGTAGACTGAGTTCTAGTCCTGCCTTAACCCTGAAAGCTGGTTGGGTGACTGAGCCAATAGCCAGGAGACTGAGAGTTCTACTCCCGCCTTAACCCTGAAGGCTGGTTGGGTGACTTTGGGCCAATAGCCAGGAAACTGGGAGTTCTAGTCCCTGGTGCCCCAAAGGTTGGGGACCTCGGCTGTAGAAGAACATTCTTCAAAGCCACTTCAAGAACACAGGCCTTGTGTGACAGGCAGACTGGCTGACGAATTCTGGAAGTTGAAGTCCACAAATCATAAAAGGGCCACATTTGAAGACCCCCACTCTATATATCATATTCTAGCCTTTTCTTGAAAACCTCGAGTGGTGGAGCACCCACAACTTCCAGAAGAACATGACTGGACTGTATTTTTTCTTTAAAAAAACAAACAAACACAAATATGTAAATATTTTGTTTGGGGGAGGGAGCTGTGAGATATTGCCAGCAAAGTCAAGCTAGACATTTTCCAAAATTTTGACCCACCAAGCTCAGAAGGTTGACCATCACTGCTCTAGTGATTTTTCTTCTTCTTCAGAAATATGTTTGTAGTCTCCGTTGCTACATAAGATTCTGGACAATCTGAAGACTGACTAGGGAATCACTTATTGTAAGGGTCAAAGTTATGAATGATGAAATGTTATGAGGAGAGCAAATATTTATGCTGTCTGGTTTTTTAAAAGCAATGAGGAGAAAGCTTTGTATGTGTTGAGTCTCTCAAGGGTCAATTTGAACAGACTTGTCTTTACACAAAATCATATCTGCTGTTCAATCCAAGAGCTCGCTGAATTTTAAAAAATGGTGTTTTTTTTTTAAAAAAAATCTGAAGCGTTATTGGCAAGATCTATTTTATAAGCCATTCAGACAAGGCTCTTTAGCATCAAAAAGAAATATTTAATCCCTTGTTAACCTCATTCAGAAACCTCCCAGTGTTTTAAAAAAATCTGTTTTCTTAATTTGTGTTATTTGCTGGAAAGTTTTTTAATGGTCTTTTATGCATGACACACGAAGAGACTTGCACATATTTAATTCAATAAAATATTTAGAGCCTGTGTACCGTTCTGATGCTCAGTATAAAGAAGAATTGGAAAAGTTATTCTCAGGAGAAAGGAAGTTAGGTTGTATGAATAATTTACTTCCTGTACTTAACCGTAGTTTAATGAAATAGAATTTTAACCAGCTAATGGGTGGGTGGGATGGGAAGGGTGTATCCATTATTCTCCAAAACCGGGCCTATCAAATAACGTTTCAGTTGTGCGATGACATTGTTATGCAAAAATGTAAATCACAATAGAACTTGGTCGGTTACACACAAACTCTTTTTTTTTGTAAAGTAAAAGAATCCCTGTGGATTTTACTCCTCTAGTCATTGCTCACTTTAGGGATTGGTGCTCATCTCCGTTTCGAGGCCTTGAGCCAGCGCTGTCCGAAAACATTTCCATGTAGTCACACGGCCAGCATGACACCATGGAGAACTGTTATCTTCCCACCGAAGTGATACCTATTTATCTACTCTCATTTGCACGCTTTTGAACAGCTAGGTTGGCAGGAGCTGACGTGAAGTGCTCAGATCTCGAACCTGGGCTGCTGGCTTTCCAGCCGACAAGCCCAGCATCTTAGCCACTGAGTCCCCATGCCTCCCCTTTTTGTTGAATCCCAGCTAATTAAGATTAAAATCTTGTGGATTCCCCCCTCCCCATTCATGTATACGCATCTGGGGAAGTTATGTGAATATGGGGAGGTTATTGGGAGAAATCATCTACTCGTTTAGCAGCCTGGATGTTGCGTCCAGCTTTTGCAAGCTCCGCATTTTAGAGTCTGAATTTCCAATTTTTACAAAAGGGATTTAATCTTGCTTTCAAGTGAGATACAGTACTTGACTTTTTTGCTTCTTCTTTTTTTAAACACGTGGATGTTCTCAGCTCCCTATCTTGAGCTTAACCTTTCTCAAGACCATACACGATAATGGGTTTGAAGTGGAAAACGGAGCAGAACTTATCTTGGTGCAAGTGACGGTATTGTAATTGTATTTGAGATGCTGTGATTTGGAAATTAGTCCCTCAAGCCAGAGATTGCGAGGACTTTGAGGGACCTAAAAACTGAGAAAAATAATGAAGTGGTAGAAGGGACATCTTAAAAGAATGGAGTTCTCAGAAACACAGCCAGGTCCTGCTTTAAGAGTTTTTAGCCAAGTCATGCTCAACCACGAAATATCAAGAGATCTGTGAGATCAATTGCCAAAAAAAACCCAGCTGGGTTTGGAAACCTGGCAACTGTGATGACATTTTGCTTTTGCTTTTTGTTTTTAGTGGATGGCTGCATTGATTGGCTGGTGGACCTCAAGAAGTATATGGCCTTAGCTGGTGAGCCGGTGCGCGTGAAATGCGCTCTTTTCTACAGTTACATCCGCACAAACTACAGCATGGCTCAAAGCTCAGGGCTGCGTCTGATGTGGTACAAAAACAAAGGGGACTTCGAAGAGCCCATTATCTTCTCGGAAGGGAGGATCAACAAGGATGAAGATGCCATCTGGTTTCACACGGCCGAAGTCCAAGACAGCGGCTTCTACACCTGCGTTCTAAGGTGGGTATCATGCAGGAGAGGGAAGGAAGGAAGGAAGGAAGGAAGGAAGGAAGGAAGGAAGGAAGGAAGGAAGGAAGGAAGGAAGGAAGGGTGGATGGATGGATGGATGTGTGGGTGGGTAGGTGAGTGGGTGGGTAGGTGGGCGGATGGGCGGATGGATGGATGCTTAGTTGTTTGGATGGATGGGTGGTGGGTGGATGCTTGGATGGATGGATGGATGGATGGAAGGAGGGAGAGATGGATGGATGGATGGATGGATGGATGGAGAGATGCTTTGACAGTTGTTTGATTGGTTGGTTGGATGGATGGATGGATGCTTGGATGGATGCTTGGATGGATGGATGGATAAATTGCCAATGGCATGTGTAGCAAGCAATGATGTTCCACATGACACTTGCATTAAGATGTGCCTGCTCAATCAGACAGTGCAGTATTTGTGTCCTGACATTAATGGGGGATGCAAATACATACATGATATCATTTCATGACTTGAAGAAACATGTATCATTCACTTTCGTTGGGAATGCCTTTGATCTCAGCTATGATTCAGAGACTTGGAAAACACAAACCTTTCCAGATCATCCTCCCTTTTCAAGTGGCTGCTGTTGTTATTGTTGATCATCATTATTATTGTCGGTCAACATATTGAGATTCTTGCTTGATGGGGTTAAAAATCTAAGCCATTCTGAGTAAAGCTGCCTTTTGCAATGGACCGATATTGATTTTGTCAATGCTGGGAGTGTTCAGAATGTTTTGGAATTGCACTCAAGGCGCCTATTGGAATTAACTTGGCTTTCTTTTGCCACAGTCATCCCACTTCTATTTGCAGGTCTTTGCATTTTGTAATTGTCTCCATCGTTGCCGTTGTTATTGTTGTTATTATTATGAGGCTGCCTCATTTCAGAACAACTCTGGGTATCTTTCAGTTAAAGTGGGTTCCAGCATAATTCATTAACTGCATCTTAAATCTGGTGGCCTTACTGGAACTCGATGGATTTGAATTTACGTTGAAAAGAAGGGAGAAGAAACAGCTTTTCTGAGGTTTCCTGGATAAAGACAACGTAACCAGAGAAATACCTTTGCTAAACATACATTCTGCACTGGGGAGCAAGGAGGTCAGACACATTTCTTTTAAAATGAAATGAGTGTGACTACAAATGGCCCTCGGAGAACTTTAAAATGCAAAGAGCTTGAAATATGTTTCCAAGTTAAAAGTTTCTGTGCTTCCAGGGTAGGGGAAACTGACAAGCCAACAAATGGGACAGGCCGGGTCACGACTCTGCTCCGTCAGTATCTGACCTCTGTCCATCTCCGTCTCTCCTGTGAGTTCCTGATAGAAGGGAATATTTTTGCAGTTATCTGAAGCAATTGGCCGCCCACATAAAAAAGAGCCCTGTAGAAGCCAGCAGTGCTATAAGGAATTGATTTGAGTAATAGGTCTCTTTTTAGCTTGCAAAAAAAGCTTTGCCTTGAAAAAAAACGCAATCAGGGCTCCGGCACATGAATTCGTTTGTGCCAAATGGCCACAAGAGGAACTAGAGGAATGTGTCTCAAACATGGCAACTTTGGGATGGGCAAACCTCACATCCCAGAGTTCTGGGAATAGGCAGACATCCGTGGTGCGTGAGGAATTCTGGGAGCTGAAGTCCGTGCACACTGGAGAACTCTGAATCTTCTGGAGATTGGCCCAACCTCACCTAGCCGCCTTTCATGTCATGCCTAAGACGGGACTAGAACTCTCCCATCTCCTGGTGATTGGCCCAAGGTTACCCGGCCAGTTTTCATGACTAAGGTAGGACTAGAACTCACCGTCTCCTGGTGATTGGGCCATAATCACGCAGCCAGCTTTCACTCTAAGGCAGAACTAGAGCTCACCACCTCCTGGTTTTCAGCCAGGTGCTTTAACCACTAGAGTCAAACTGGCTTTTCTGATGTAGGTCAATGCTTATCTGCACCAGACCATCCACTAGACTAGTGATTTTAGCATCCTTGACAATGCTGTTCTATCTTCTCTCCCTCTCTCTCCATTTCCTTCCCTCCCTCCTTCTCTTCCTCTCTCCCCCCTCTTTTCCTTTCTCTCGCTCTCTCCCCTTCCTTCCTTCCTTCCTTCCTTCCTTCCTTCCTTCCTTCCTTCCTTCCTTCCTTCCTTCCTTTCTCTGTCTTTCTCTCTTTCTCCCTTTCTCCCTCTTCCTCTCCCTCTCCGCCTCCATCTCTCTCTCTCCTTTTTCTTATGGGATGTAATTCTCCTCTGGCTTCTGAACCAGGTCTCTTGGACCTTTCTGTCCAGGACTCACAACTCACATTAAGAGCAGCAACCAGGATGTCCTGATATGGAAGACCTGAGTGTGAAGCTCAATGCATTCTGCAGGGAAGAGCTGCGCCATTAATCTTTCCGCTCTTGCTGATACAACCAGAGTTTAAATCTGTCAGCGTTTCCATTGCAAGGCCTCATTTTTCAAAACTGGAACAAATCAGCTGGAAAAATTCCACTCTGGATTGAAACGTTGCTTGCCAAAGGACCGAGGCTCCAATTGTTTCTGAAAAGAGCAGGCATCCGAAGTCTGGCATAATTCATCAGCATGCCAAAATCCAGAGGAAGCTAATGGATGATTTGCACAATGACAGCGGCGACCACGATGATTTGGTTGATTGCAAAGAAACAAAACCAGACCCCTCTAGCCTCCCAGCCTCCCAAAGTTAGAAGCTGTTCGAAACCTTCGGCCTTCTTTCTTTTAGGGTTGTTATTGCATCATCATCACCATCATCTTCAGCATCTCACCATTGTCACCCAAAGATTGTGACTTAGTTTTGTTTCTGCCTCTATGGCAGTTAGGTTCCTCCACCCTAACCTAAATCTTGGATGGTGATTAGGCCTTAGTACCACCCATGGCCACTATCTTATCAATCAGTCATCTATCATCTCTCTTTCTCATCTATCTATATTTTTCTTTCCTTCCTTCCTTCCTTCCTTCCTTCCTTCCTTCCTTCCTTCCTTCCTTCCTTCTCCTCCTCCTCCTCTTCTTTTTCTCCTCCTCCTCCTCCTTCTCCTCCTCCTTCTCCTTCTCCTCCTCATAACATTTTAAAACAAATAAAACAATAGGGACATCAAAAATACCCAACAGATGAATACTTGGCCAGTTGACAATAAGGCCAGGCAACAGTGCCCTTAACACCTTCAGACCCAGGCATGGAACCTGTCCAGGTTCTAAGGCCTTACAAAAGGCTAACAAGGGTTGAGGCCATTCTAAATCTCTGAAAAGAAGAGGCTCCATAGAGCAGGGGCCACTGCAGAAAAGGCCGGTCTTTAGGTCCCCACCAACCAACACTCTTTGGCCAACGGGATCTGCAGCATGCCCATTCTGATCGATCTAGTTGGATGGGTAAGAGATTCCTGGAAAAAGGCGATCCCTCAGGTCACCCAATCCCAAGCCATGTAGGTCTCCAAAGGTAACCACCTGGACTTTTGCAGTTTGCTTTTTTTTTTTTCTTCCCCCCAATAATTTTATTAAACATTAGAGTTATAGAGATAAACTCTCAGACAAACTACAGGAAATAAAGGAATAGAATAGAAAGAAGAAGTAAAAAGTGCAGAAAGAAAAAAAGACAACAAAAGGAAGAGTGGAGGAAAAAAAGAGAGGAAAAAATAAGAATATATGAAAAAAGTGAAAGAAGTAACTTCTCCCTGTTTGGATCCCATTTTTTTTTTTTAAAAAAAAAAAACCTAAAATTTAACATTACAGTAATTACAACTGCCGCTTCCCATTCTCATCCTTCTCAACATGATGGGAAAAACAACAACACAGCATCCTCCCCTTCCTTTCTTCTTTCAATGCCTTGGAAGAAATAGCAGGCTGAAAACTCAGCCATAGAAAAAAGCTCAGGGGGATTAAATGTCAAAACCGAGATCTATACAGAATTTCGATAGTTGCCAGTGGTGACAATTCCCTGATTACCTTTAAGCTGATTGGCCAATGCGAGATTTCTATAGCATTTTAAAGGAGGCGATCCAGCAATTGGATTTTGCAAGTGGGGGGAGGGGGGAATTCCCTCCCCATTTTTCCAAGCTGAACTAGACTTCTAATCGCAGAAAGTGGTGAATAAACCATATGGAATAGTAAATAGGATTAACAGGAAATGTTGCAGAAGAACAGAAGAAGAAAGAAAAATCTCTAGTTATTAAGGTGGATACATATAGAAGTTAGAGAGTGGGTGGGAAAATAAGTTATCTTTGTTAGTTATCTTATCAAGAAGTTATCGTGGTAGTGTTCCAAAATCTAAGGGGCTGCCACAAAGAAGAGGGGGGTCAACCTATTCTCCAAAGCACCTGAAGGCCGGACAAAAGCAATGGATGGAAATTAATCAAGGAGAGAAGCAACCAAAGAGAAATTTCCTGATGGTGAGAATAATTAATCAGTGGGAACGACTTGCCTCCAGAGACTGTGGGTGCTCTATCACTGATATAAAGAGATTGGACAACAAAAAATGGGCAGCCATCTGTCTGAAATGGTATATGGTTCCTGCTTGAGCTTCTTAAGAAGAGAGTGGACAATCCAAGAAGAGATTGGACAAACCAAAGATGGACAACCATCTGTTTGAGATGGTATAGGGTGGGTTCCTGCCTGAGCAGGAGGTTGGACTAGAAGACCTCCAAGGTCCCTTCCAAGTCTGTTATTCTGTTATTGCTTTAAAGGGAATTACATGCGAGGGCTCTGGATTAGTAATGCAAGAAGAAGCATTAATAGCGCTATCATCAAGCTCAGTGAATGGAATTGTATTTTTTTTTAAGGGTAAGGGGAGTGCTAGAGATAATCTGACAGAAATGGATTTCCAAAGGCGTGGCTGGGTACAGATTTCCATCACCCCAAACTTTCAGAAGAAGCCTGTGGTAGATCTTTCACTTGCCCAGTATTTTTCATACACACCGGGGGTTCATCTGCTTGTTAGAATTTATTTGTATTTTATTGATTTATTAAATGTATATGCCACCCACCTCATCCTTT